TGGGTGCTGGGCAGCTTATAAATCCGGAACTCTGCAGCTGTGACAGCCTCCCCTGCTGGGATCTGGGTCAGATCAAAGCGGAACTCCTTCCAGTGGGGCTCCTGGTGGCCCAGGGTGCGGTCACGTTCCACTGGAAAACAAAGTGGGAGCCAGGTGGTCACTAATAGCTGGGTTGGCATGGACTCTGAAGTAGGGTAAGGCCAGTTTTCTCCTCCACAGACAGGCTTGTTCCAGGCTTTTCTGGGGGAGGTGTAGACAGGGCTTCATGAGGTCATGTAGAAAGGACTTCCACAAGTGCTCTACAAGCCAAAAGCCAGAACCCCACTTGTACCTGTCTCCTACAAGGCCCTTTCCTGACCCTGGAACCCACAGATGAGAGAGCAGAAGGCCCTCTTCTGGAAGCTCCTAGGTTAAAAGGGAGATGGACATGAAATCCAAAGCAGGAAAAGGTCACGGGGGAGTGGAGAGCTCAGATATTCATGATGGCTGAGCTGGACCGTGAGGCTTGAGTGCAAATTTGCCTCAGTGTCCAGGGAGAGGGCCCTGTAGAGGACAGGCCAGTAGAGCAAGGCCCAGGGTAAAATGACCTGAGGGCAGGGAGGGACACCACTGCCAGAAACTACCAAGGATGAAACTACCAAGTGCCTTTTGTGGGGCTAAGAAGGAAGAAGAGGGACAGAGAAAGGAACAAGGAGCACCAAGGTAGGATGACTCCTGGGGAGTCCTAATCAAGTTCTAGGAAGTGGGATCTAAGCAGCCTCCATAAGGAGGTGATGAGTGGGAAGCCATCTCAGTGGGTGGTGAGGTGGCAGGGTGTGCTCTAGGCAGAGAGGAGTGGTGTGTACGGGTGAGGGGGACTGGGGACCTCCCACAGATTCACACTCTGGAAGCAGCAGTGGGTCTAGCTGGGCCCACCTGTGGGAGGGGTGGAGCCTTGGGCTACTCATGTCAGTAGGTGGCAGCGTGGTCCAAGAGGCAGACTGGAGGACCCTGTGCAGGCAAGGGTGAAGGGTGAAAGACAGGCAGGAGGTGAGAGCCGAGGTGGGGCCAGTGGTGGGACTGGCGCAGCTGTCTGGGCAAAGGCCACGGCTGTGGAACAAATCCACATTTGCCCAGAGACTCAGAACTGCCCAGGATGGTATATTTAGGGCAGTCTCACTTTAGCTCCCTGTCACTTTCAAACACCAAAAATCTGTGTTTCCGGAAAGCAGGGTGGGAGTTGCCCAGTGCCTTCTCTAAAACCCAACACTGAGATTTTAATTATATGTATCTGAGTCTTTTTAAAAACTCTCTCTGGCTACTGGGCTCAGTGACCACAGGTCAGGTTTTAAAAAGCACCAGGCTAGGCTGCCAGGCGGATGTGGAGAGCACTTCCTCTCCTTGTGGTCCCCACATATCGCCCCTGGTCCAGAGATATGCCCACAGCTGTCCTGGGCGGGGCCAGGTGACAGGCATGTTTGCGTAGGTAGGAGCAGTTGGGAAGTTTCACCCCCAGGGAGGAGAAGAAATGGACCATGCTGTGTCCCATAGCACATCAGGGTGTCTTTTGAAGTTTTACTTCTCCCTCAGAATAGGACTTCAAAAAAATTTTTTTTCTAAATAGATGTAATTGTTTGCTCATTGATTCACATATGACAGTGCTCGGGGTACTAGAACTACTTCAGTGAACAAGACAGATATCTCATGTAGTTACAATCTAATGGGAGAGATGGAATCTCTCAAAACAAAAACAAGTAAAATAAGGGATACTGTTTCTTTGGTATGTGGTATGAAGGAAGCAGAGGGTGAATTGGGTATGATGGTTCATGCCTGTAATCCCAGCAACTCAGGAGACTGAGACAGGAGGATCACAAGTTCAATTTAGCAAGCTCCTAAGGATCACAGCTTCAGCAATTTAGCAAGGTCCTAAGCAACTTAGTGAGACCCTGTCTCAAAAGAAAAAGGGGATGGGGATGTGGCTTAGTGATTAAGCACCCCTGGGTTCAATTTCTGGTATCAAAAAAAAAAAGGCAAAGGGACTGGGTGCTTTTCATAGGGTTTTCAAGATGGACTTTGAGAAAGAAGTAAGATCAGGCACGAGCATTCTCATATGATGCTGAAAGCATTCATTCATATGAATTTACCCTTTGATGAAAGAATCCCAAAGACAGATTAGCAAAACGATGAAAAGCCATATGCAAAAGCCAATTCACTGGGTACAGGAAATGTCAAAGCTATGTCTGGTTCCACAGTCACCTCTCAATGTTTATTGAGAGAATTACAAAAGTGGCCTAAATTTTTTGAACAGTGAACCAGCTTCTGTTTGGAGAAGCAGTAAATGGATTTAGTTTCTGAACCACCTTAATGTGGCTACCAGAATAATAAACAATCATGAATCACCAACATGTGCCAACGGAACCCTCAGCCTCCTCCTCCAGCCTCTGATCAAACCACCTCCGGATCCCACGCTTCTGGGAAAGGCCCACTGAGGGCAGCAGGCAGCCTCCCTGGCCACAGCACTGTCCACATTCTGCCTGTCCACTCCAGGGCCCTGTGCCCACCACTCATAGGATGGACCGCCCGATGCCAAACCTGGTGTCCATCAGCCTGACACCAACAAAGCATTGGTTATGTGTGTTTCTTGGACAAAATTAGACTCACCCAGGTGACCTGTCTTGTTTCTCACCAAGAGTCAGATCAAAAGACACCCTCCTCCTCCAGCTCAGTGAGGCTGTCAGGAGGACAATTTTCTGACCAGCCCATCAGCCTCCCCTCCAATCCTTCCCAGCCTTGGAGGCCCACAGGGGGAGTCTAGGCTCAGCTGTGTACCCCAGGCCCTCCCTGAGCTGGCCCCACTATCTGCCTGTCTGTCTGTCATGGCCTCTGGTGCCCCCTACCTGCAGGCACCTTCCCCCAGAGGTTCCTTGGAGGCCTCCCTCCCTTGAGTTGCTCCCTTCCACCATGTCTAAAGGCTACTTTCCCCTCACTGAGGAGCCTGCTCTGACCACCCACAGACCCCATAATTGATCTGCCCTCTTTCCCCTGGCTCAGCTGCCTGGCAGAAGGATGGGCTCACTGAGGGCAAGGGCTGAACATGGACATGGGAGCCTCCCAGCAGCCTGCTCATTGAGGCCCCTGAGTTCCAAGGACCCAGAAAGGGGGGTACCTGTCTGTTCTTCCCTAGGACTTCTTGTCCCCAGGACAGTGGCTCAGTGTCCAGCACTCACAGCCCCTTAGGCTGGGGCACAGATGCCAGTCTGGGGGTGGCTACCAGGTTTCAGCATGTCCCTGTCTGAGGGCCCCAGAGGCGGACAGGCTAGGCCTGTCTGGCTAGTCCTGCTGGTAACAAAGGCTGCGGGAGCCCCACTTCAGATCTAAGAAAAGACCCTGGTTTCCACAGCCCCTTGAGGCCCATGGAAGAGCTGTGGGATTGATGACCTGTTGATCTTGCCTCCTGAAGGGGTTTCTCCCACCAGAAACCTCAGCTCGGGGGAGAGGAGGCCCAGGTTCTTTCTGAGGTATTTTCAGCCAGGTCTCATTACTGACTTTCTTCAAGAGCTGTTTCCATAAATGACTCTGTACACATAATTACTGATCCAGTCCTCAGATGGCTTCAGACCCCAAATTAAAAGGGAACACCCGCACAGGCCACCACATCAAGCCTGCCAAGGTCAAAAATA